TCGGGGATTATCTGTGTGACGCCCCCTACACACTCCTAAGCTCCGCCCTCCAGCACCTCAGCAAGATGATCTCACCCCAGGACTTCATCATCTGGACCGGGTCAGGACCACACGCTCTGGACCCGGTCTAGACCTGGTTTAGTCCTGGTTTAGACATGGTTTAGTCCTGGTTCAGTCCTGGTTTAGTCCTGGTTTAGACCTGGTTTAGTCCTGGTTTAGACCTGGTTTAGTCCTGGTTTAGTCCTGGTTTAGTCCTGGTTTAGTCCTGGTTTAGTCCTGGTTTAGACCTGGTTTAGACCTGGTTTAGACCTGGTTTAGTTCTGGTTTAGTCCTGGTTTAGACCTGGTTTAGACTGGTTTAGAGTCCTGGTTTAGACCTGGTTCTGACCCGGTTTCTGGTTTCTCTCACAGAGACAGACCTGGTTTAGTCCTGGTTTAGTCCTGGTTTAGACATGGTTTAGACCTGGTTTAGTCCTGGTTTAGTTCTGGTTTAGTCCTGGTTTAGACCTGGTTTAGACCCCTGGTTCTGACCCGGTTTCTCTCACAGGGACAGACCTGGTTTAGACCTGGTTTAGTCCTGGTTTAGTCCTGGTTTAGTTCTGGTTTAGTCCTGGTTCTGACCCGGTTCTGACCCGGTTTCTCTCACAGGGACAGACCTGGTTTAGTCCTGGTTTAGACCTGGTTTAGTCCTGGTTTAGACCTGGTTTAGACCTGGTTTAGTCCTGGTTTAGTCCTGGTTTAGTCCTGGTTCTGACCCGGTTCTGACCCGGTTTCTCTCACAGGGACAGTCCTCCTCATGTTCCTCCGTCAGAACTTTCCACAGACCTGGTGGTTCAGGTTCTGTCCAACCTCACGACGTCCATCAGAGAGAAGATCCCCAACGTGACCGTGTTCCCCGCGCTGGGCAACCACGACTACTGGCCCCAGGTCCGGACCACGGACCACAGACCGGACCACAGACCACAGACCGGACCACGGACCGGACCACAGACCACGACCACGGACCGGACCACAGACCACGACGGACCAGACCGGACCGGACCACAGACCACAGACCGGACCACGGACCGGACCACAGACCACGGACCACGGACCACGGACCACAGACCACCAGACCGGACCACGACCGACCGGACCACACGACCGGACCACGGACCGGACCACGGACCGGACCATGGACCGGACCACGGACCAGACCACAGACCACAGACCGGACCATGGACCGGACCACGGACCGGACCACAGACCACAGACCGGACCACGGACCGGACCACGGACCAGACCACAGACCACAGACCGGACCACGGACCGGACCGGACCGGACCACAGACCGGACCACGGACCGACCACAGACCACAGACCACGGACCACGGGACCACGGACCGGACCACGGACCGGACCACGGACCGGACCGACCGGACCGGACGACCACGGACCGGACCACGGACCGGACCACAGACCACACCACGGACCGGACCGGACCGGACCGGACCACGGACCGGACCACGGACCGGACCACGGACCGGACCACAGACCACAGACCGGACCACGGACCGGACCACGGACCGGACCACGGACCGGACCACACCGGACCGGACCGGACCACCACGGACCGGACCACGGACCGGACCCGGACCACGGACCGGACCACAGACCACACACCAGAACATAACGTGTGTCTCTTGTTTTTTCTGTCAGGACCAGATTCCAGATTCTCCTAACGACATTTATCGAGCCGTGTCTCGTCTGTGGGCCCCGTGGCTCCAGGAGGAGGCGCTACAGACGCTTCAACAAGGTGAACCGGGACTAAACCAGGACTAAACCAGGACTGAACCTGGACTAACCCGGGACTGAACCAGGACTGAACCAGGACTGAACCTGGACTAACCCGGGACTGAACCAGGACTGAACCTTTAGTTTTTTCTCTGTAGTGGTGTTCTAATCTCTCTGTTTGTTCCGTATGTTCCGTGTTCTCCATGTGTTCCGTGTTCTCCATTTGTTCCGTTTGTTCCGTGTTCTCCGTGTGTTCCGTGTTCTCCGTGTGTTCTGTTTGTTCCGTGTTCTCCGTGTGTTCCGTTTGTTCCGTGTTCTCCGTGTGTTCCGTTTGTTCCGTGTTCTCCGTGTGTTCCGTTTGTTCCGTGTGTTCCGTTTGTTCCGTGTTCTCCGTGTTCTCCGTGTGTTCCGTTTGTTCCGCAGGAGGGTTCTACTCCCAGTTGGCTCGCCCGGGTCTGCGGGTCGTGTCCCTGAACACGATCTTGTACTACGGCCCGAACCGAGTCACTCAGAACCTCACGGACCCGGCAGGACAGTTCACCTGGCTCCAGAGAACCCTGCAGAACGCCGACAGGGACGGGGAGAAGGTACACCTGTCTGCACCTGTCTGTCCCTGTCTGCTCCTGTCTGCACCTGACGCTCCTGTCTGCTCCTGTCTGCCCCCGTCTGCTCCTGTCTGCTCCTGCTCGCCTCTCCACAGATCTGACCTGACTCCTGCTCGTCTCCATGGAGATTTAAGTTAAAGCCGCACTGTGGAACATTCGGAGCAAAAACATGATCTCCGTGGAGACAAGCAGGTGACTCCTCCCCCCAGTGTGTCCTCTTCTCTGATTGGTCCTCAGGTGTTTTCCTCCTCTCTGATTGGTCCTCAGGTGTTTTCCTCTTCTCTGATTGGTCCTCAGGTGTTTTCCTCTTCTCTGATTGGTCCTCAGGTGTTTTCCTCTGCTCTGATTGGTCCTCAGGTGTGTCATCTTCTCTGATTGGTCCTCAGGTGTTTTCCTCTGCTCTGATTGGTCCTCAGGTGTTTTCCTCTTCTCTAATTGGTCCTCAGGTGTTTTCCTCTTCTCTGATTGGTCCTCAGGTGTTTTCCTCTTCTCTGATTGGTCCTCAGGTGTTTTCCTCTGCTCTGATTGGTCCTCAGGTGTTTTCCTCTGCTCTGATTGGTCCTCAGGTGTGTCGTCTTCTCTGATTGGTCCTCAGGTGTTTTCCTCTGCTCTGATTGGTCCTCAGGTGTTCGTGATCGCGCACGTTCCCGTCGGGTTCCTCCCGTTCGCGCGGAACACGACGGCGATGAGACGAGAACACAACGAGCGTCTGGCGGCCATTTTCCGACGCTTCAGTCACGTGATCAGAGGACAGTTCTACGGCCACACCCACCGAGACTCGGTCATGGTGCTGAGGGACCAGAGCGGTACTAAACCAGGACTAAACCAGGACTAAACCAGGACTAAACCAGGACTGAACCAGGACTGAACCAGGACTGAACCAGGACTAAACCAGGACTGAAACCAGGACTGAACCAGGACTGAACCAGGACTAAACCAGGACTAAACCAGGACTAAACCAGGACTGAACCAGGACTGAACCAGGACTGAACCAGGACTGAAACCAGGACTGAAACCAGGACTGAAACCAGGACTGAACCAGGACTGAACCAGGACTGAACCAGGACTGAACCAGGACTGAACAGGACTGAACCAGGACTGAACCAGGACTGAACCAGGACTGAACCAGGACTGAACAGGACTGAACCAGGACTGACCAGGTCTAAACCAGGACTGAACCAGGACTGAACCAGGACTAAACCAGGACTCTAAACCAGGACTAAACCAGGACTTAAACCAGGACTAAACCAGGACCAGACCGGGACTAAACCAGGACTAACTAAACCAGGACTAAACCAGGACTAAACCAGGACTAAACCAGGACCGGACCGGTACTGGACCAGATAAACCAGGACTAAAACCAGGACTAAACCAGGACTAAACCAGGACCAGACCGACTAAACCAGGACTAAACAGGACTAAACCAGGACTAAACCAGGACTAAACCAGGACTAAACCAGGACCAGGGACTGAACCAGGACTAAACCAGGACACCAGGACTAAACCAGGACCACCAGGACCAGACTAAACCAGGACTAAACCAGGACTAAACCAGGACTAAACCAGGACTAAACCAGGACTAAACCAGGACTACTAAACCAGGACTAAAACCAGGACTAAACCAGGACTAAACCAGAAACCAGGACTAAACCAGGACTGAACCAGGACTAACCAGGACTGAACCAGGACTAAACCAGGACTAAACCAGGACTAAACCAGGACTAACCAGGACTAAACCAGGACTAACCAGGACTAAACAGGACTAAACCAGGACTAAACCAGGACTAGACCAGGACCAGGACTGAACCAGGACTGACCAGGACTAAACCAGGACTAAACCAGGACTAAACCAGGACTTAAACCAGGACTAAACCAGGACCAGACCGGGACTAAACCAGGACTAAACCAGGACTAAACCAGGACTAAACCAGGACTAAACCAGGACTAAACCAGGACCAGACCGGTACTGGACCAGAACTACCCACTGAGACAGTATTATGGTCAAGAGGGACTCTAGAGGTACTGGACCCGGACTGAGACTGGGACTAGACTCGGACTGAGACTGGGACTGGACCCAGGACTAGACCCGGACTGGACCCGGACTAGACCCGGACTGTCTCCTGTGAGCGGTGTTCTTCAGGTGTGAGTGTTTTGTGGTGGAAAAGTTCCGCAGTGAGGCTTTAGTCTGGTGTTGGTGTTGGTGTTTCCAGGAGCAGCGGTGAACAGTTTGTTTGTGGCTCCGGCCGTGACTCCGATCAGGAACATCCAAGAACCGTTCTCCAACAACCCCAGCTTCAGGGTCTATCTGTTCCACCTCGAGTCGTACGACCTGCAGGTGAGAACCACGACCTGACTCGACCCACGACCCGACTCCTACGCCCTGCAGGTGAGAACGACTCGACTCGTACAACCTGCAGGTGAGAACGACTCGACTCTTACGACCTGCAGGTGAGAACCACGACCCGACTCGAACCACGACTCGACTCGAACCACGACACGACTCGACTCGAACCACGACTCGACTCGAACCACGACTCGACTCGAACCACGACTCGATTTGTACGACCTGCAGGTGAGAACGATCATGACTCGACTGGAACGACCTGCAGGTGAGAACCATGACTTGACTCGTAAGACCTGCAGGTGAGGTTCTTGGGTTGTGTGCTCGAGTCCTGACCTGAGTGTGTTCGAGTCCTGACCTGAGTGCGCTCGAGTCCTGACCTGAGTGTGTTTCTTCAGGACCTGTGGCAGTTCTACCTGAACCTGACGGAGGCGAACGTCCAGCAGAGGGCGCAGTGGCGTCTGGAGTACGTGATGACGGCGGCGTTCGACCTGAAGGACCTGAGTCCCGAGTCGCTGCTGGGCCTGGGCTTGAGTCTGGTCGCTCCGCAGAGTAAAACCTTCCAGACGTACTTCAGTCACTTCAACGTGGACTTCGACCCGAGGCTGCGCTGCCAGGGCCAGTGCCAGGTCCTCCAGGTCTGCGCCGTCCTCCACGTGGACCAGGACGGGTACCAGGACTGTACCGGACCCGGTCTGGACTGGGACTAAACCGGGACTGGACCAGGACTAAACCACGTCTGAACCAGGAATGAACAAGGACTAAACCGGGACTAAACTGGGCCTGAACCAGGACTAAATTAGGACTAAATCAGGACTTAAATCAGGACTAAACCAGACGGGTGTGGGCATTGTTGTTGGTGTTAAAAAAAAAAAAAAGGGATTTTAAATTTTTACTTTTGGAATAAAGTGTTTTTGTAATAAATATTTGTCAAACCAACTCCTGTGGTTTTGTTTGGGGAAAATGGGATTAAACTGGAACTAAACCAGGTCTAAACCAGGACTAAACCAGGACTAAACCAGAACTTAAACGGGTCTAAACCCACACAGGAGTTTAGGACGTTCTGCAGGTTTTCAGGATTTGACTCTTTTTGTTTCTTCACAAATGTGTTTGACCGAAACCTGAGCAGAACCACAACCAGAACCATGTAGAACCTGAGACCAGAGTGTGGGCCTCAAGGTTCTATGGTCCTAGAACCAGAGCAGAACCAGAGCAGAACCAGAGGAGAACCACTACTACTACTATTACTGCTATTAAAGTCCTGGTTTGGGTCCTGGTCCTACTCTGGTCCTGGTCTTGATCCTGGTCTTGATCCTGGTCCTGGTCTTGATCCTGGTCTGCATCCTGGTCTGGTCTTGATCCTGGTCCTGGTCTTTTGTTTACAGTCATTACCTGTTTGTTGGAGCCCCGGGAGGCCATTGTGGAGCCCCAGGGGATTGTGGGAAATGGAGTTGTTATGTAAATGAGGCTTTAGTGAAGAGTGTCCAGTCTGAGCCTCGGCCAATCACAGCGCAGCACGTGCAGAGATGAGCCAATCACAGCGCAGCACCGCCCTTTCAAATGCAGATGAAAGACCCGCTTTAATATGAATGAAATACTACTACTACTACTACTACTACTACTACTACTACTACTACTACTACTACTACTACTACTACTACTACTACTACTACTAACTACTACTACTACTACTACTACTACTACTGTTAATACTACTACTATTACTACTACTACTACTACTACTACTACTACTACTACTACTACTACTACTACTACTACTACTACTACTACTACTACTACTACTACTACTACTACTACTACTACTACTACTACTACTACTACTGTTAATACTACTACTACTACTACTACTACTACTACTGTTAATACTACTACTACTACTGCAACTACTGTTAATACTACTATTACTACTACTGTTACTATTACTACTGCTACTACTACGCGCGTACGTCATAGTGTATGTCATATTGGACATGTATGTCACAGTGTATGTCATAGCGAGCACGTATGTCACCGTGTGTACGTCACAGTGTGTTTGTTCCAGTGGAGGTGTAAACGTGGAGAGAGCAACAAAAATGACATCATGAAAATAAGAGATTAAAGAACCTGGAGAAACATTTGAGGAGAAGAAGATCAACAGAGACTCGACCTGATCCTGTCCCACAGAGCTGCGCTCGTTTCAATTTAAAAAACACCATTTATACTTTAAACACCCCCTCCCCCCCTCACACACCCCCCTCCCCCCCTCACACACCCCCCTCACCCCTCACACCCTCCCCCCTCACACACCCCCTCCCCCCCTCACACCCCCCAACACACACAACACACACACCCCAACACAACACAACACACACACAACCACCCCCCGCCGGGACCCCTCCCCCTCCCCGCGCTCTGCAGCTGGAGCTGTGAGAGGCTGGACCCGGGGCTCTCCTCCCCCCGGGTCCCGTGTCCTCCTCCCGGGGCTCCTCCAGGTCTGTGTCCCCCTGTGTCCCCTGTTCTCCCGGGGCCGCTCGGGTGAGGCCCCGGTGAGGGTCCGGGTCCGGTCGGTGGTCCGGGAGGGGGCGGGGGGAGGGGGCGGGGGGAGGATGAATGAAAAATGGACGGATGAATGAGCGGAGTAACGGCCGGAGGCGAGGGGCGGGGCCTGCGCTCTGATTGGTCCAGAGCGCGGAGGAGGCGGGAGCAGCTCGGGGAAAGCGGCGCGCTGATTGGCTGAGGGCGGGAGCGTCTGGCGCGGTTAAGAAGACGCCGGTTTGAGAAGTTTTAAACTGAACCGAAGCTCCGCAACGAAAAACCACAAAGTCCAGGAAAAACACCGGGAAAAACACCGGGAAAAACACCGGGAATAACACCGGGAACAAGCCCCACGCGGCCGCGCACGGACGCGCCGGAGCATGGTCCAGCACATGGAGCTCGGGGTCGTGAAGCCCGAGGCGGAGCGCGGAGCTTTGCCGGGGCAGAGGTCGTGCCGCGCGGCCGCGGGACACATCAAGAGACCGATGAACGCGTTTATGGTCTGGTCCAAGATCGAGCGGCGGAAGATCACGGCGCGGGCCCCGGACCTGCACAACGCGGAGATCTCCAAACAGCTGGGCCGCCGCTGGAAGTCCCTCCCCGAGGCCGACAAGGTCCCGTTCATCCGGGAGGCGGAGCGGCTCCGGCTCCAGCACATGGCGGACTACCCGGACTACAAGTACCGGCCCAAGAAGAAGGCCCGGACCGACGGCTGCCCCGCGGCCAGAGCCCCCGCCCCCACCGCAGCCCCCGCCCCCCGGGGCCCCCGCACAAACCCGCCCCCCCGGGACCTCCGGGACCCCCGGTCCACAAGAAACCCCGCACCGGGAGAACCGCGGGCCCCGGCGGGAGGAGCGGCTCCCACAGGCCGCAGCACAGACTCCCGCACCCGGGGCTGGACGAGCAGAGACACCGCTACCCCGAGCACCGAGTCCCCGAGCACCGAGTCCCCGAGCACCGAGTCCCCGAGCACCGAGTCCCCGAGCACCGGTGAGAAAAGCTCTAAGTACTCTGTGTGTAGTAGTCTGTGTGTAGTAGTCTGTGTGCAGTAGTCTGTGTGTAGTAGTCTGTAGTAGTCTGTGTGCAGTAGTCTGTGTGTAGTAGTCTGTGTGTAGTAGTCTGTGTGTAGTAGTCTGTGTGCAGTAGTCTGTGTGTAGTAGTCTGTGTGCAGTAGTCTGTGTGTAGTAGTCTGTGTGTAGTAGTCTGTGTGTAGTAGTCTGTGTGTAGTAGTCTGTGTGTAGTAGTCTGTGTGCAGTAGTCTGTGTGTAGTAGTCTGTGTGCAGTAGTCTGTGTGTAGTAGTCTGTGTGTAGTAGTGTAGTAGTCTGTGTGCAGTAGTCTGTGTGTAGTAGTCTGTGTGTAGTAGTCTGTGTGTAGTAGTAGTCTGTGTGTAGTAGTCTGTGTGTAGTAGTCTGTGTGCAGTAGTCTGTGTGCAGTAGTCTGTGTGCAGTAGTCTGTGTGCAGTAGTCTGTAGTCTGTAGTCAGTGTGTGCAGTAGTCTGTGTGTAGTAGTCTGTGTGTAGTAGTCTGTGTGTAGTAGTAGTCTGTGTGCAGTAGTCTGTGTGTAGTAGTCTGTGTGTAGTAAGTCTGTGTGTAGTAGTCTGTGTGTAGTTGTGTGTAGTCTGTGTGTAGTAGTAGTCTGTGTGTAGTAGTCTGTGTGCAGTAGTCTGTGTGTAGTAGTCTGTGTGTGTAGTAGTAGTCTGTGTGTAGTAGTCTGTGTGTAGTAGTAGTCTGTGTGTAGTAGTCTGTGTGCAGTAGTCTGTGTGCAGTAGTCTGTGTGTAGTAGTTTGTGTGCAGTAGTTTGTGTGTAGTAGTCTGTGTGTAGTAGTCTGTGTGCAGTAGTTTGTGTGCAGTAGTTTGTGTGCAGTAGTTCTGTGTGTAGTAGTCTGTGTGTAGTAGTCTGTGTGTAGTAGTCTGTGTGTAGTAGTTTGTGTGTAGTAGTCTGTGTGTAGTAGTTTGTGTGTAGTAGTCTGTGTGTAGTAGTCTGTGTGCAGTAGTCTGTGTGTAGTAGTCTGTGTGCAGTAGTCTGTGTGCAGTAGTCTGTGTGTAGTAGTTTGTGTGTAGTAGTCTGTGTGTAGTAGTCTGTGTGCAGTAGTCTGTGTGTAGTAGTCTGTGTGCAGTAGTCTGTGTGCAGTAGTCTGTGTGCAGTAGTCTGTGTGCAGTAGTCTGTGTGTAGTAGTCTGTGTGTAGTAGTCTGTGTGTAGTAGTCTGTGTGCAGTAGTCTGTGTGTAGTAGTGTGTGTAGTACTGTGTGTGTAGTAGTCTGTGTGTAGTACTCTGTGTGTAGTAGTCTGTGTGTAGTAGTCTGTGTGTAGTACTCTGTGTGCAGTAGTCTGTGTGCAGTAGTCTGTGTGCAGTAGTCTGTGTGTAGTAGTCTGTGTGTAGTAGTCTGTGTGTAGTAGTCTGTGTGCAGTAGTCTGTGTGTAGTACTCTGTGTGTAGTACTCTGTGTGTAGTAGTCTGTGTGTAGTAGTCTGTGTGTAGTAGTCTGTGTGTAGTAGTCTGTGTGTAGTAGTCTGTGTGCAGTAGTCTGTGTGTAGTAGTCTGTGTGCAGTAGTCTGTGTGTAGTAGTCTGTGTGTAGTACTCTGTGTGTAGTACTCTGTGTGCAGTAGTCTGTGTGCAGTAGTCTGTGTGCAGTAGTCTGTGTGTAGTACTCTGTGTGTAGTACTCTGTGTGCAGTAGTCTGTGTGCAGTAGTCTGTGTGCAGTAGTCTGTGTGCAGTAGTCTGTGTGCAGTAGTCTGTGTGTAGTAGTCTGTGTGTAGTAGTCTGTGTGTAGTAGTCTGTGTGTAGTAGTCTGTGTGCAGTAGTCTGTGTGCAGTAGTCTGTGTGCAGTAGTCTGTGTGCAGTAGTCTGTGTGCAGTAGTCTGTGTGCAGTAGTCTGTGTGTAGTAGTCTGTGTGTAGTAGTCTGTGTGTAGTAGTCTGTGTGCAGTAGTCTGTGTGCAGTAGTCTGTGTGCAGTAGTCTGTGTGTAGTAGTTCACATATTGAGCTCTGGTCTAACCCTCCTGAACCAAACTGACCCTGTGACCTTTAACCCAGGTTCTGTGGTTCTGTTCTGTGGTTCTGTTCTGTGGTTCTGTTCTGTGGTTCTGTTTCACTCTGAGCTGGACTCGTGTTTGTTTGTTTGTTTCTTTATTCTGAGTTTGTTTACTTCTCCAAACGCTCTGTTCCACCTCGTGATGTCATCAAGTTCTCGGCTCCTTTTCCCTTTAGTTCAGTCGAGGTCGATAAAGAAACTCCAGGACTAAAATGATCTGGGTGATTCTAGTGAAGGTGTGTGGAGTTTAAAAACACAGTGGAGCACTTCCTGTATCGCCACATGATGACATCACGAGGTGGAACAGAGAGAAGAGCTCGTGCTAAACGTGCAGGTTTGTGTTAAACGTGTGAACGAGGAAAATGACGGAAGATCAAATAATAAAACATGAGGATGTGAAGGGGCGGGGTCAGGGGTTGAGGGGCGGGGTCAGGGGTTGAGGGGCGGGTCAGGGGGCGGGGTCGCTGCTGATGTTTGGAGGCGATGACATCACTTTTTGGACGTTCTCAGGTTCTTCGAGGCTTCGGACTCTGACGATGACGACTCTGAGGAGGAGGAGGAGGAGGAGGAGGGGGGGCGGGGATACGTCTCCGTGACGACCGAGCGGCGCCGTTACATCATCCACAAAACGCTGACGAGACACAACTCGACCTCCGACCCCGAAGAGCCAGGTTAGACCCTGAGACAGTCCTAGACCTGGTCCTAGACCTGATCCTAGACCTGATCCTAGACCTGATTCAGCTCATGTTTGGTCTCTCTTTAGTCCTGATTTAGTCCAGCTTTAGTTCAACTTTGGTTCCACTTTAGTCCTGGTTTATTCCCTCTTTTAGTCCCTTTTTAGTCCATCCTTTAGTCCTGCTTTAGATCCTCTGTAGTTCGTCTTTAGTCCTGGTTTAATCCCTCTTTTCGTCCTAGTTTAGTCCCTCTTTAGTCTCGCTATAGACCCACTTTAGTCCTGGTTTTAGTCCTGGTTTAGTCCTTCTTTTTCATCCTAGTTTAGTCCCTCTTTAGTCTTGCTTTAGACCCACTTTAGTCCCTCTTTTAGTCCTGGTTTAGTCCATCTTTTTTGTCCTGGTTTTAGTCCATCTTTGGTCCTGCTTTAGACCCAGTTTAGTCCTGGTTTAGTCCGTCTTTTAGTCCGTCTTTGGTCCGTCTTTAGTCCCTCTTTAGTCCCTCTTTAGTCCGTCTTTGGTCCTTGTTTAGACCCACTTTGGTCCTGGTCCTAACCCGGTCTCTCTCTTCAGACCTGGATGACACTCGCTCCGAGGACCTGAGTGAGGACTTCCCTCTTAGCCCCGCCCTCTCCGACCCCTGGACCTCGCCCGGCCCCGCCCTCTGCCCGCCCTCAAACCCGCTCCTGACCCTGGACCAGGACCTGGACCTGGACCTGGACTTGGACTGGTGCAGCGAGGTCTCGGTCCGGTCCCACTTCGAGTTCCCAGACTACAGGACCCACAGGGACTGGCTCCAGGCCCACCTCACGGACCTGGTCTTCAGCTACTGAACCGGGACCCGAACCAGGACCGGCTCTGGACCAGGACCGGCTCTGGACCAGGACCTGAGAGGGACTTCACGTGGATCGTTCTTGGACTGTTTGGACTAAAAACGTTGATATTTCAGACGGATATTTGGCCTCGTTGGCGTTTGGACTTTGGGAAACGGCGATGGACAGTTTGAAAATAAAAAAATAAAAATATCGGTCGGGTTTATCGGTTTCTCTGGATTCTAAATAATCGGCTCTGCAGCTAAAACCCACCAAGTCCGGACTTTGGAACACTAATACCTCTAATGAACTGCCTCAGCATATAGACCTGGTTTAGTCCTGGTTTAGTCCCAGGCCGTCGGTTTAGATCTGGTCCTTGGATTTTGTTTTTTTCGTTCGTGTCGCTTGAAGGCTTCACCTTTGACCCCGACCCCTCCCCCCTCAAACTGTGACCCCCGACCCCAAACAAAGACTCAGGCGACACAGAACCACCTCCAAAAACCAGGACTAAACCAGGTCTAAACCAGGACTCAGCTCTGGACCCGTCCAAGGCTCAGATTTTTAGCAGAGTCATGTTTTTGTGAAGGCACTTGACTCGGACCTTCTGGACTCGGGGCCTTTGGACTCTGGACTCGGGGCCTTTGGACTCTGGACTCTGTATCGACGGTGCTCAAATGTTGGTTTTGTTTTGGGCCGTTCTGGATTTTGTTCTTGTTTTTTTGTGCAATACGTTTGTGAAATAAACGCTGAGACTCAAAATGTTTCTGTTTAAACATTTGTGAACAAAAACACCGGACTAAAAACACTTGATTAAAAACACTCGGTTAAAACACCGGGTTAAGGCCAGTTTACGGTCCAGCGTCAAATCGTCACCTCTCACATTTTCTAACTACAAGTCAAAGCGACGCAGACGACCAGAGTTACACTTTCTGTCAATTTACATGAATAATAAAGTGTTTAATTAATGAAGCTGTGACACGTTTATGTTTTACACAAACAAAACTTAAAACCACATGACTCATTTGCATAAACTAAAAAAACCATCACTTCTGTCGGACTAAAGGACACAGTGACTCAGTGGAATATGAGTGTTCTCCCTGTGACAGAGGGGTGTTCTCTCTGTGTCAGAGGGGTGTTCTCTCTCTGTGTCAGAGGGGTGTTCTCTCTGTGTCTGTGTCAGAGGGGTGTTCTCTCTGTGTGACAGAGGGGTGTTCTCTCTGTGTGACAGAGGGGTGTTTCTCTGTGTCTGTGTGTGACAGAGGGGTGTTCTCTCTCTCTGTGACAGAGGGTGTTCTCTCTGTGTGTCAGAGGGGTGTTCTCTCTGTGTGACAGAGGGGTGTTCTCTCTGTGTGACAGAGGGGTGTTCTCTCTCTGTGACAGAGGGGTGTTCTCTCTGTGACTGTGTGACAGAGGGGTGTTCTCTCTGTGTGACAGAGGGGTGTTCTCTCTGTGTCAGAGGGGTGTTCTCTCTGTGTGACAGAGGGGTGTTCTCTCTCTGTGTCAGAGGGTGTTCTCTCTGTGTGACAGAGGGGTGTTCTCTCTGTGTGACAGAGGGTGTTCTCTCTGTGTGACAGAGGGGTGTTCTCTCTGTGTGACAGAGGGGTGTTCTCTCTGTGTGTGTGACAGAGGGGTGTTCTCTCTGTGTCAGAGGGGTGTGTTCTCTCTGTGTGACAGAGGGGGTGTTCTCTCTCTGTGTCAGAGGGGTGTTCTCTCTGTGTGACAGAGGGGTGTTCTCTCTCTGTGTGTCAGAGGGGTGTTCTCTCTCTGTGTCAGAGGGGTGTTCTCTCTGTGTGTGTTCAGAGGGGTGTTCTCTCTGTGTGACAGAGGGGTGTTCTCTCTGTGTGTTCAGAGGGGTGTTCTCTCTGTGACAGAGGGGTGTTCTCTCTGTGACAGAGGGTGTGTGTCAGAGGGGTGTTCTCTCTGTGTGACAGAGGGGTGTTCTCTCTGTCTGTGACAGAGGGGTGTTCTCTCTGTGTGTCAGAGGGTGTTCTCTCTCTGTGTCAGAGGGGTGTTCTCTCTGTGTGTGTTCAGAGGGGTGTTCTCTCTGTGTGACAGAGGGGTGTTCTCTCTGTGTGTGTTCTCTCTGTGACAGAGGGGTGTTCTCTCTGTGTCAGAGGGGTGTTCTCTCTGTGTGTGTCAGAGGGGTGTTCTCTCTGTGTGAGGGGTGTTCTCTCTGTAGAGGGGTGTTCTCTCTGTGTGACAGAGGGGTGTTCTCTCTGTGACAGAGGGGTGTTCTGCTGATGTTCAGTCTGTTCTGTGTTTGTGTCGTGTTGTTGGTTCATGTGAAACTTTTCACACATTATACGTGTGCAGGTGGTGCACACAGACACACGTTTATGTGAATGACACATATTGTGTGTCTTGATGTTCTGGAGGTGACTTCACGGTGCATCGACCTCCACACAAATCCATAAATCAAAAACGATGGCGGCGGCAGAGAACGATGAGCCGACGCACAACTATACTTCACTCTGTAGTGTGTTCTCGTGTGGTGTGTGTGCGTTCCGTGTGCGTTCCGTGTGCGTTCCGTGTGCGTTCCGTGTGCGTTCTGTGTGCGTTCCGTGTGCGTTCCGTGTGCGTTCCGTGTGCGTTCCGTGTGCGTTCCGTGTTCCTGAGCGAGGTTCAAATCTCTGACACTTGTTGGACATTTTCAGAATCCAACACTTTTATTGAGACAAAAACAACAGAATGTGACATTTTACATTTCAGAACATTCGGCCAATCAGACGCAGCGTTACAACATTCGGCCAATCAGACGCAGCGTTACAACATTCGGCCAATCAGACGCAGCGTTACAGCTAACCCTAACCCTAACACTGTAAAAAACGACGATTTGGCTGCACACTGTAAAAACACAAACCTGTGTGTGTGTTTCTGTGTATGTTTGTGTGTGTGTGTATGTGTGTTGTGTGTGTGTTTGTGTGTGTTGTGTGTGTGTTTGTGTGTGTATGTTTGTGTGTGTGTGTGTGTGTGTGTTGTGTGTGTGTGTGTGTGTGTGTTTGTGTGTGTGTGTGTGTGTGTGTTTGTGTGTTGTGTGTGTGTGTGTTTGTGTGTATGTGTTGTGTGTGTGTGTGTGTGTGTGTGTGTGTGTGTGTGTGTGTGTTGTGTGTGTGTGTGTGTGTGTGTGTGTGTGTGTGTTGTGTGTGTGTGTGTGTGTGTGTGTGTGTGTGTGTGTGTGTGTGTGTGTGTTGTGTGTGTGTGTGTGTGTGTGTGTGTGTGTGTGTGTGTGTG